TTCACCTGATTGTTAGGCACCTCTCTTGCTTCCAACCAAGCTTCCAGCCAATCCACCTCCGTCCCATACAAACCTGATTTGGGGCCAGCCTTGCTTCCACTGAAGTCAAGGCACATTCCACTTTTGAGATGGCTGCACTGCAGTAGAGGAGGAAGTGATCTTTGTACATATTTTGTATTTCAGTTTAAGGTTTCGTAAAATGCTTTTTCTGGGTCTTTGGGATGGACAATGATAAACATGTAACATATTATAGATTTCAGAGTGGCATTGGCACCCTGACATCAGGATTGTCTGGCTATGTAGACTCTCTCCTCAGGCCCTATGCTACCAGCACTCCCAGCTATCTTCAAGACACCACTGACTTCCTGAGGAAACTACAATCCATTGGTGTTTTCTGGAAGATCACCATCCTGGCCATTATGGATGTAGACGCTCTTTACACCAACATTACACACAAAGATGGACTACAAGCCGTCAGGAACAGTATCCCCAATAATGTCACAGCAAATCTGGTCGCTGAACTTTGTGACTTTGTCCTCACCCACAACTGTTTCACATTTGGGACAATTTATACTTTCAAGTCAGCGGGACTGCTATAGGTACCCGCATGACCCCACCATATGCCAACATTTTTATGGCTGACTTAGAGCAACGCTTCCTCAGCTCTCTGCCCCTAATGCCCCTAATCTACTTGCGCTACAATGATGACATCTTCATCATCTGGACCCATGGGAAGGAGGCCATGGAGGAATTCCACCAGGATTTCAACAATTTCCACCCCACCATCAACCTCAGCCTGGACCAGACCACACAAGAGATCCACTTCCTAGATACTACAGTGCAAATAAGCAATGGTCACATAACCACCACCCTATACTGGAAACCTACTGACCGCTGTACTTACCTACATGCCTCCAGCTTCCATCCAGACCACATCACAGGATCCATTGTCTACAGCCAAGCTCTAAGATACAACTGCATTTGCTCCAATTCCTCAGACGGAGACAAACACCTACAGGATCTCTATCAAGCAGTCTTAAAACTACAGTACCCACCTGCTGAAGTGAAGAAACAGATTGACAGAGCCAGAAGGGTACCCAGAAGTCACCTACTACAGGACAGGCCCAACAAAGAAAGTAACAGAACGCCACTAGCTGTCATCTACAGCCCCAACTAAAACCTTTCTAGTGCATCATCAACGATCTACAACCTATCCTGAAGGACGATCCCTCACTCTCACAGACCTTGGGAGACAGGCCAATCCTCACTTACAGACAGCCCCCCAATCTGAAGCAAATACTCACCAGCAACTACACACCACACAACAAAAACACTAACCCAGGAACCAATCCCTGCAACAGACCCCGTTGTCAACTCTGTCAGTATATCTATTCAAGGGACACCATCATAGGACCTAACCACATCAGCCACACCATCAGGGGCTCATTCACCTGTACATCTACCAATGTGATATATGCCATCATGTACCAGCAATGCCCCTCTGCCATGTACATTGGCCAAACCGGACAGTTTCTACGCAAAAGAATAAATGGACACAAATCAGACATCAAGAATTATTACATTCAAAAACCAGTAGGAGAACACTTCAATCTCCCTGGACACTCAATAACAGATTTAAAAGTGGCAATTCTTCAACAAAAAAATGTCAAAAACAGACTCCAAAGAGAAACTGCGGAACTGGAATTAATTTGCAAACTGGACACCATCAAATTAGGTCTGAATAAAGATTGGGAGTGCACGGGTCACTACAAAAACTAATTTCCCCCTGCTGATACTCACACCTTCTTGTCAACTGTTTGAAATGGGCCATCTTGATTAGATTGACCTCATTCGCATTACAAAGGTGATTTTTTTTCCTCCCCTGGTATTCACCCCTTCTTGTCAACTGTTGAGAATAGCCCACTTCCACCTTAATTGAATTGGCTCGTTAGCACTGACCCTTCCTCCCCCACTTGGTAAGGCAACTCCCATCTTTTCATGTGCTGTGTATTTATACCTCCCTACTGTATGTTCCACTCGATGCATCTGATGAAGTGGGTTGTAGCCCACGAAAGCTTATGCCCAAATAAATTTGTTAGTCTCTAAGGTGCCACAAAGACTCCTTGATATTATAGATTGTTATTCATTCAGTGCAGCAGTGCCTGTGAATGCTCCCAGCATAAGGTAACGCTATTGTCTTTGCACGCATCACACAAACACTTTTGCACACGAGCAACTGCAGTCAGGTGAGCACTCTTGTGACTCCATTGATCCACATATTTCTATGAATCCTGCCTGCAGGAGTGAGCCCGTTGGGTGTATTTAAATGGAAACTCTTAGGGACACAGAATATTTTGCCAGTTTCATGGGAAACCCATTCTATAGCTTGAAGGACTCCCAGGCCCAAATACAGGCCTCGGTTCTCTGAAATGAGGGACAGAGACTCAAATGCTATAAAATAGCTGAGAGGCTGCTATGGACTAGCTGAGGAAGACAAAGCTTTACATTCTGTGGGATGAATTTCTTCAGCACATGCAGCGTTTTCCTCCATATGGCTGCATGAGTCAGCATGTTTGATGTCCGCTGGTGGGTGAAGGGTACTAATAGTCAGATTAATGGTAGATTCTTCATCTCTTGATGTCTTCAGAGAAGGACAGGATGATGCCTTTCTGGAACATGTGCTTTAGTCAAGCCCAAGTTATTGGGCCCAAACAGGGGCATCTGGGTGAAATTTTACAGCCTGTGGAGATCAGATTCGATGATCTAATGGTCCCTTCTGGCCTTAAAATCGATGACCGAATCCATGAAGAAACACAAAAAAGTGCCTTGACTTCAGTGGAAGCAAGGCTGGCCCCAAATCAGGTTTGTATGGGACGGAGGTGGATTGGCTGGAAGCTTGGTTGAAAGCGAGAGAACTGCCTAACAATCAGGTGAAAGAAATGTTGCCTTTCCTCCTTGTCATTGCTAAACCTGTCTGCTTTCCGCAACACTTCACCCTCTCCCTCCTTAAGGCTGTGCTGTAAACCTCAGCTAACAATTGCGTTAATCACTGATCTCTGTATTGTATGTTCTCACTTAACAGGCAGGGCAGAGGAGAGGGCAGGTGGAGCATTCAGCCCAGATATGGGATTTCACTTCAAGAAATCGAAATAAGAAAAACCCTGTTTGATCTTAGTGACATCTGCAGCCTCTTTCATGTTAGCCTAGAGGGAATCCCAAGAACGCATTGTTCTGGCATGTCAGAGAACAGATTTAAAAACTTTATTAAAGCTAATGTTAAAAAAATTATGTAATACATCGGTCGAGAAAAGAGTGTCTGTACATCTGGGCATAGTGCTTAGATTATCCACAAATGCAGAATGTTTTTAAAAGTCATATGATACATAGTGTACATAGGAGTGTAACAGCGTACAGCAACATTCCACAACAATTTAGGGGGCAAAAGTGAAGAGAAATACAGCGTGTCATTAAAGCTCTCCCTCTGGTCTTCTCTGCATTGGAGAAAGCAACACTGAAATTGACCTTGCATCTACACTGGGGAGGCAACAATTGGTGCAACTTAACATAGAAATGTGTTGCGGATAAACCCTGCTTTCAAGTGATTGTGTGCCAGTTGGCATTGGAAAACCTCCTCCTAGGTCAAAGAGGACAGCCTATACCTTTATTGGGTTAGGGCAGCCCTAGTGTGGATGCAAAGGCAAATCTTAAACCACCTGATGGTGGCCTGGAACTTGATTCAGTGCAATATAATCAGCTGAAGCACAACAGATTAATCCACACAATCTAGTGGTAGATAAACCCTGAGAAACTGACGGGTTTTTAATAAAGAATGACAAAATCTAAACGTCTTGCAAAAGGTATTAGAAAGAAAGAAAAGAGAAAAGAAACTCTCCAGAGCCCGGAGTGTAACCCTAGACGTATTGCTACGGATAATCAATTCACGTTTGTGCATTCATTCACAATCATGTATTCCCTATTCACCCTCTGCTCACATCCATCCTCATTCCATACACCACTGCACATGAACCATGACTGGATGCAGCAGACAGAACTTGGCTGAGCTACAAGAAAAGACGTGACCTTTCTGCTGATGTGGTTTTATCATTTGTCTTTTTTCATCTCAGTAATAACACTTGTCAATCCAAACTAAATTACTTTCCAAGTTTCCGTATAAACTCGTAGCCAAACAAATCAGCTTTACAACTCAGATTCAATCCACCCTTTCAGTGACAAAAAGAAAAAGAAAAAAAAAAAAAAAAGGACTACTAAGGCAAGTGAGCAGCAGGAGATTGCTCCAGAGAAAACAGCAGATTGAAATATTTAAATGACAAAATAAAAACATTTAGCAAAAAGCAGATGAGCAACATGTCACAGCTAGTTCATACATGAGCAAAGCTCATTAGTAATGTTATGTATATGAACTTTCATTGTTAGGACAATCTCTTGTTCATTAATAATTTCACAGAGATGGACAGAATGTACACATTGTGTGTGTATATTATTTTACTGTATTGAATTGGATATTCTTTGGGACTATGTATTGTTTAAATGTATAAGTCAAAAATAATTGTATACATGTGCATAGTTTAATAAAAACATTTTCCAGAAGTAAACAAAGGCATTGCATTATGGTAACATTTAAAATGCATCTACTCATTAAAATCTTAGTTCTAAAAGATTAACAATCATAAGCAACATAATATGTATTTCACTAATAAATATTAGCTAAAGAAACTAGCAGCGCATCTTGAAAATCTATCTGTAAAATTTCTTTTCAAGAGACAAAGCCACCAAAATAATAAAATAAGCACAAAGGATGTTTTCCTATATGATTTCAGAACATTTAATTACCTGGAAAAAGAATTCTGGGAAAATTAATAAAAAGAGTAAAAAGAATACAAGATATTTAGTAAATAACCTTTAAGATTACACAAATTTGTACAGTATATCTGTTTCATGGGGCAGATTTGACTTCCCAAACTTTGCATGTTCCCTCTTACCTGTGATCAATACAGCTTTGTTGTCCACAGGTAACATTGTTTGAACTGATAAGTGAATGTAACAGATGAGACATGCCATGGAGAACAGGATTAAGCCTACATAACTTTTCAGCGTGGCAAAACAGAGTATTCCCAATAAAAGCAGCAGGAGGAGACCACGGGCAAATACACACTTTTTCTCCACTTGGTTCTTCTTGGTTTTGTAAAAGGTGATTATTCCAAATGCTGCAGTCATACTCAAGCAGAGCAAGACAGAAGGGTCAGCTACAGAGATATAAGTGTCCATTCTCCTAGAGAGAAGGCAGACACTCATGCACTAACAGACAACAGCCTAGCAAGGTGTTGCTAAAGGCAGAGTGAGTTTTATATGAACTGGCTGAGGGGGTGGGGCAGGGAAAGGGGAATTGGTTTAGGATCCTGAAGTAAGAAAGAAATATTGCAAAATGTAAGACTGGTTTATCTGATCACTTCAGGTACGGGTGTAAATACTAGAACACTTCCCCTTCTCACCTCTTATTTTTATTGCCTTTCAGCTCCACCCCTGATACACTGGTTGGATAATGATTGACAGAGTCAGGAATGGACATGAAGTAGCAAGCCCTGGCCTAGGGCAAAATGTAACTTTGACATGTCTGACACACTTAAATGGAGTTTCACTAAATAGAAAAAGTATTTCTACTATAGTTAAAAACAGGAGTGTCCTTCCTATGAATTTGGGGGCCTGACTTCAGCGGATTTTTTCTGATTTACACCGGCATATGTTGAGAATCAGGCCTGCAGTGTTTACTCTTTCTAGTTCAAAATACGTAGCTGTCGTTGCACTAATGTTACCTTCATATTTTCTACGTTCCCATCATGCTATCATCACCCACTTTATCTCAAGGAAACACCAAAGCTAAACAAGATTGCCTTTCCTGGATTTAATGTGTTCCTTTGGATATTGACACAGTCCGTACCCGTATTCATCTGATCACTGTGTTTTTGGTTGATTGAAATTGGAGGGGGTTTGCCTCATGTTTCTGAGAATATGATTCCAAATGAGCACTAGTCAACTAACTTCAGACCAAATCTTGGACGGAACTTTAAAGGTTACGTTAAGCAAGTTTTGGCAGGTGCATGCTGTTCAAAATTCTGTTCCGCAACATGAAACTGTCATACAGTCAATAAATTAGATGAGAAATATTTAATATCTACGCTGGGGTACTTTGAAGGTCTTTTTAAATTAAAAAAAAAGTGTAGGCTAAAACAGAATTAGCTAAAATGACTGAAACATCACTTAAACCTGTATCTAAGTACTAACACTTTTAAAAGCATATTGGTCAATCGTGTTATAAACAGAGATTACCCCAAGGACCTGCTAACACGGTTTGAAAGGTGTTAAATTTGTGTCTACTACAAGTGCTAAGTGGTGTTTCAATCTTTTAGTTAATTTGATTTTAAGATGTACCTTTTTTTCTAGTCTAGACAGAGTCTGAGAGATTACTGGGTATTCTCTATTCTCTATACACCAAGTACAGCTTGGTGGCATGTGAATCCAACAAAAGATAAAAAAATTTCTCCATTCATGACTTTAGTTTTAGGAGATAATATTTCTATTTGTCATAAATTCTTTTAAAAGCTAATAAAAAATTTTATGTATGGCCATTATCTAGTGTATGTTTCAGATGAGGTCACTATTCCTTAGAAGACCACAAAGAGTCTTTATGGACAGAGCTTGAATCTCTTATTTTTGTTCTTCTGGGAGATTAATGTCCAAGTGGGTTCTGAGGATATGGAAATCTTTAATCTTCCCTTCTACTGAGTAAATGGGGTTTAGTCACCTTCACTTCCCCTTTGCTATTTTAAGGACAATTTTAAATAGATTTTGGATGGAGTTTTGAATGATAGAGGTGGTGATGATTTGGAGGGTCATTTTAAAGCTCTCCTAGAGGGGCCATGGGATTGATTAATATCACAGCTGCAATTTTAAACTGGTCTTGTTTCTCAGGTGCTTTAGTGGTTTTTAAACTGGACTCCTTCTAAGTAAATTTCTGCCCTCTGGCTACTTTTTCCCCGAATGAATTTTGGCCAATTACATCTAAACTCCTGATTTTTGAAGCTATAAATTTGAAGCAAATTGAGATGAATCCATTAATTGTCTAAAATCAGAGAGAACTTGTATCCAGTGATTTGTTAGTTTTGAAAAACCAGCTTTTGGTCCTTAGTGATCCATCACAAGCCCCCCCGAGTATTGACTGAGATTATTTAAAAAAAAGATACAGGATAATCTGACCACCTGAAAGAGAGATTTTATCCTTCAAAAGATTTTTTAAAAATCCTGTTTTATTCAACTTGCTTCAATCATAAGAAATGCCTTCAGTAGCAATGCTGTCCGAAATAATGGTTCCCCTAATCCTATTTTATATATTCCTTAGGAGGGAATATAAAAAAAATTCTGAATTAGAAAAAGTTGGATAATCAAAGAGCCCTTTGAAGGAATTTGAATTTGTGGCCAGAGGAAAAAATTAATCTGTATTTTGGACATTGGTGGCAACTACCTATGATACATGTAACTAGCTATGATTATAGTAACTAAAGAAGCCCTTATCCTCAAGCATGCTTGGGAGAGAGATTTTTTTTGCCTTTCATGATACCCCATTTATTAACCATATGGTACAGTCTAACTTCATAGACCCCACCTGTTGTCCCTTTCCAGAAAGACCCCAAGGCACGTTAGAGTTTTGAGAAACTAACCACATCATAATAAAACTCCTCAGGAGGATTTTACCTCCACAGAAGTTTATGGGGACAATTTTGATCGGTGGGCCTCATTGTTAACAAAATTATTTACTAATATAAATAAGATAGGAATTTTTCCACCAGGTTGGTCCACCAGTATTATTGTTTTTCTTTATAAAAAAAGGCAATAAATGATCCTGGGAACTGACCAATTAGCCTCTTAGATATGGGTTTTTAAATCTATATCTGGGGAGATTAGAGGATTGGGTGAAGAACTGTAATTTATTTGCAAAGGAACAAGCCAATGTCAGGAATGGCTACTCTACCATTGATAACTCTTTTGGTCTTTTTCTCATTTGATACATAAATATTGCTCCACAGTGGAGATAAAATTTTAACAGCTGTTGCTGACCTGAAATTGCCTTTTGATTCCATTGACAGAGGTCACCTCAAGGAGCAACTTGTGAGGACTGGGCTAGATTTGGGGCACGGGTCACTTGCACGTTTAAACTAGTGTGAATGGTGGATTCCCTGTAACTTGATTTGAGGACTTTTTTTTAAACCATGATTTGAGGACTTCAGTAACTCAGCCAGAGATTAGGGGTCTATAGGAGTGGGTGAGTAAGGTTCTGTGGCCTGCGATGTGCAGGAGATCAGACTAAATCAGGGGTCGGCAACGTTTGGCACGAGGCTCGCCAGGGTAAGCACCCTGGCGGGCCGGGCCAGTTTATTTACCTGCTGACGCGGCAGGTTCGGCCGATCGCGGCCCCCACTCACCGCGGTTTGCTGTCCCGGGCCAATGGGGGCAGCAAGAAGCGGCGCAGACGAGGGATGTGCTGGCCGCAGCTTCCCGCCCCCCGCATTGGCCCAGGACGGCGAACCGTGGCGAGTGGGGGCCGCGATCAGCCGAACCTGCCACGTCAGCAGGTAAATAAACTGGCCCAGCCCGCCAAGGTGCTTACCCTGGCAAGCCACGTGCCAAACGTTGCCGACCACTGGACTAGATGATCATGATGGTCCATTCTGACCTTAAAGTCTATGAGTCTAGAACATGGGCTACTTTCTGGAACCCTTCATAGCCAAAGGGTAGCTGTTAGAATAGAGGGGCAAGGTAAGCTAATTGACCCTATTTCCACCTCAAAGAATGTCCATCAGGGTTGTTTATTAGCACATTTCCACTTAAAATTTTACAGGCTGTGATGGTTTTAGAAGGGGTGCAGCATTTTCCTTTCAAAATTGTGAACTGGTGTGTATTGGTCCCTCTTTATGTACACAACGTGGTTTTACTGTCCCAAAATCCTCTGGGCTTAAAGCATATGTTAAAGGATTTTGGTTCTTTTTGCCAGAAATCCTTGTCCACAAATTACCAGAAAACTAAAGTAATTTCCTTTGACCGCAAAGCAAGGCTGCACAAATGGATGACTGATGCTCCACTACATTTTAATAGGTCATGTTTTTCCCATATGTTTGTTTTACATATAATAGCCAACAGGATAAACATCTGGAGGAAGTAATAAAAGAAAGTGTTAAGTTCTAGGCAAGCAGATCCTGAGGGGCAATTTAATCACTCTTTCCTCTTAGACAGTTCAAGGCTACACTCCATGACCAAATATTACGTGGTGTGGAAATCTGGGGCTGGAAAACACATAAGGGTCTTAGAAGTTGAGCAAAACCAGTTTTTAAGGAGAATGCTCAGCCTCTCTAATTTCACACCAGCTGCTCTACTTAGAGCACAGGTAGCTTTACTCGAAATATCACATCCCCCTAAGGGAATTTATATTAATTCTTGGCTGTGTATTCAGCTTATGAAACCATAGCATCTTCCAAGGCAATATCTGAAGGAACAATTTAACAAAACACATACAAAAGGCAGAGAAACTTTAGGGTAAGCCCCCGCTTCTCTCTATCTTTGGACTTCTTGGAACTTGACCTGGCAACACCTGGACAAAGTGTGAAGTGTTTAAATCACGTTTAGAGCAGAATCTATTTATAAACAATTGGATATGGAAGATATTCCTACAACAAATATCCCCTTGGCTTTCTGATTTAAAACAATATTCAGTTCTGAGAAATATTTGGACATTTTTAACAACAACATTTTAAGGAGAACTTTTGCATTTCTCTGTTTTCAAGCTATGATAGATAAATTCATGAAGGATAGGTCCATCAGTGACTATTAGCCAGGATAGGCAGGGATGGTGTCCGTAGTCTCTGTTTGCCAGAAGCTGGGAATGGGTGACAGAGGATTGATCACTTGATGATTACCTCTTCTGTTGATTCCATCGGAAGACAGGATACTGGGCGAGATGGACCTTTGGTCTGACCCAGTATGGCCATTTTTATGGTTTTATGCGCTCAGCCTATCTGAAAGGGAGCTACTGTATGCTGGTATTGAGAGACAATCATCTTTTCCTGTGTAGGTGCGGCCAGATCAAAGATGTAGCACGCTGTCAACTTTCCTGTAACCTGTACTGTCACCTAAGTAGTAAATGCTTAGCCCCATTCCTGGCTCAAATTCCTTTTACCACACAAGCTAAAAAACAAAAATACTTGTTATGTAGTGAAAATATCTTAATTATATGGGCTGATGTGCTATTTGCCTGGTTGGCCACAAAAACAAGTACAAGTGAAAGAGAGGTTCCTTGTGCTCTAGATCAGGGTCGGCAACCTTTCAGAAGTGCCGAGTCTTCATTTATTCACTCTAATTTAAGGTTTCGCGTGCCAATAATACATTTTAATGTTTTTAGAAGGTCTCTTTCTATAAGTCTATAATACATAACTAAACTATTGTTATA